TCGTTTTGGATCTGGTCCCAGCTCCAGAAGGTCCATGGATCGTTCTGTGTGACCACGGCAAGGTGCTGCGTCACCTATTTGGGCCAACTTGGCCATGTATCGTGTCGGGCCTTAAGCCCAAGTTGGGGGCGCCCAACCCCTGGCCGTCCCCAACCCTAGGTCGAGTCTTAGACTATAAACACAGCCGTCGCCGCTGCTACACAATTGGGTTTTGTTTAGAGTTTAGTTTTCCATTGAGAAACTGAATCGTTCATTGTAACTATGGTGACAAATCCTTTTACAGTGATTCAGGGCTCCCGTTCTTGATCTCCTCCACTGTGTCGATTAGTCCTTTGGAACTGAGTTCTAGAACCCTCTATTGATATTCGCGTCATTCATATTTGCAATATCAGATTGCGTGTTTTACCTTCTTGCTTGTGCTCTTCGATTCGCTTGCAGGAAAAGCCTTCTTGGCGAGGTCAATCAAGTTGTGCTTGGTTGATAACCAATGGAGCAGTGGTGTAACGGTTGTAGGGTTCGAATCGCGTCTGATTTGAAGCCGGATCGCCAACGTCGAGATCTCCACAAATCGAACTTACCGGCTACCTCTCGGAAGATCGGGCCTGTACTCATCAATTGGTATCAGAGCTTTTAGGTTTACCGTGAGGTATAATCTCGTTTGCCTTAGATTCGTATTTGTTCATTACCTAGAGTCTACAAAAAGCCCAAAAATATTTCAATTTCCGCTGTCCTATCGCCCTTTGTGCCTTTGCAATTTCGTTTCAGATTCGTGTTGTTGAGTTTGTGTCCGTGGTCGAGTCTTGTTGCTGGTTTAGGATTGTGTTCGTGGTCGTAGTTCAATCGCCCGTTGCTGTGATTTTTGTTTTCCGCCGCTATCCCATCCACCGTTCCCAAACAACAAGTCGAAGCCACCACATTACTCGACTTGCCCCGCTAGCCGCCTTGTGTAACTTCTCGCCGCCGCGTAAACCCTAGACAGGTTGCCAGCCGCTCTTATTTTGCCTGCATCGCAGCCCTCCTTACATCATCAGGCGAATACCTACTGCTGTTAGTCACAGTGATGATCCTGTGATCGGTGCTAGAGTTTCGGGACGCTTTGCCCTAACTGCCGCCGCCGTGTTGTGCCTCCCGAAAAACATACCTTGAGATACCTTCGGTAAAACAGGCATAACTTTTCGCTCGTTTATCCGAAAAATCTGAAATTTTTTCAGCAGCTTCTTGACACCATTTGGAGCCGACCCAAACTCGGCTTCGCCATGTTTGGTTTCATCAGAATTGCCAAAAAAATTCGGGAAAATATGGAAAAAAATTGTCAAAGTTTTTGCACGCTTTTCAGAGAACGTGCTGAATTTCTGTAGACCACATCCCACCTCAGTTGTAGGTGCCAATTTTTGTGGTTGCATCTTTTGTGATCCTTTTTCAGAGAAAAGTATATAAAAAATAGTAAAAAAAAGTAAAAAAGTCCGTTTCCTATTAGTGCCTTTTGGAAAAATAAGGAGAAATCCGAGAAATCCGGGCTGCTTGTTCCGTGAGTTCTTTCAATCGTCCTTTGTTTTCACCTTGTTGCACTACGTCTCGTCACATCTTAGCCAGCACCTGTGATTTGTACTTTGGATCCGGATTGAACAATCATTAATCTGCATTCGTTAATTGCTAATCCTTGCTGTCATATTGTGTGCCTACTCATAGCTCCACATATTCTTCTGTCCGCACAGGTTTATCTTGCAACTGTTACCCACGCTCCACAACAGATTGCTTCGCCACTTTGGTTTGCTCCTGTTTGGCGTTGGTAAGAATACAGGCAAGACGGTGGTAAGCCGCTTGTGATTTTGCATTCCACTTTCACCACCATCACCACCACCACCACTTGTTTCCTTTTAGTTGATAGGGATAATATTTTGGTGTTGTCTTTTTCTATCTTCTAACCATGGCAGGAACTCCGACGGACTTCAATGAGTGCGTGTCCAAGGGCGAGCTTACAACGTTCATGACTGAACAACGCAATCTTATGACCGAGCTGACGCGCAACGTGAACAATCTGGTCACCCGCATTGAACAGCTTGAGTAACGCCCTCCACCTTATCGTGCTGATGATGAAGATGCGGATGCTTTTGGTGATGAAGATGCGTATCTTTGACGGTGGTGCCGTCGCCGCCTCAATTTCAATCGTCAGCGGTATGGAAGGTAATAATCATGGTAATAATGATCCTTTTGCTAAAATTAAATTTAGTCTACCTCTTTTCTTTGGTAATGTTGATCCAGAGGCATATTTAGATTGGGAGCTTGGCTTGTTCAACAAAAATTTGATTCTCATAATGTTCACCGAGCATAGAGTTAAACTTGCTACTAGTGAGTTTACTAATTTTGCTTTGTTTTGGTGGAGTGATCTTTGCAATGCCAATAATGTCATTTCATGCCTCAAACTTGGAATGTTTTAAAGCAACGTATGAAATCTCGTTTTGTTCCTCCTTATTACCAACGTGATTTACGTTTGAAACTACAAACTTTAAAACAAGGTGATAAAGGAGTAGAAGCATACTATCAAGAATTGCTTATTGGTTTAGCACATTGTGGTATAAATGAAGATGATAATGATGCTAGTGCTAGATTTTTTGGTGGTTTAAACCATGATATACATAACATACTTGATTACAAAGAATGGCATAATTTTTCCCAATTGTATCATCTTGCTATTAAGGCGTAAGCGAGAAGTACGAGGGCATAAACAACACCAGCTTTTCAGGTCTAACAATGGGAGGAATTTTTCAGCAGCGTTCCGAGCCGGAGACGCCAAGCTTCTGTTGCACCACACCATCTACACCTCCATTTTCTTCCGGTGGTAAATAAATTGTCTAATGTGCGGTTTCACAATTTGAAGAAAGGTGCCACTCGGGTGCTTCTACTAGCTCCTCCTCGTCAGCTCTAAAATCATTTGCCACCGATGCAAAGGCATGGGACATGTCATGAAGGATTGCCCCAGTCGTCGCGCTTTCATTGCTACCGAGGATGGATATGTAAGTGCTAGTGATGTTGAAGATGATTTAGCCCTTGCTGCTAACATTGATGCAGATCCTACCGAGGGAGATCAAGACAAGGAGGCCATCACCATTGACTCCGAGCTGCTGCATGACTACCCTAGCCTTCTTGTGTGCGTGTGTGTGTTGAGTACGTGTGGGACATGAAGAAGAGATGAAGATCCAACGCCACAATTTGTTCCACATGTATCTCATTATGCAGGGTTGTCGTGTTCTCACTATCATTGATAGCGGGAGTTGCAACAACTTGGTGAGTTCAGATTTGGTTGACAAGCTTGGCTTGACCACATGACAACATTCGTATCCATATAAACTTCAATGGTTCAATAATAGTGGTAAGACTAAGGTAACTAAATCAGCACGCATTAGCTTTTTCACATGTGCTCTTATCATGATCTGCTGATTTTGATGTTGTCCCTATACAAGCTTGTTCCATTTTGTTAGGTCGACCATGGGAATTTGATAATGATGCTTTACACCATGGTAGAACTAATACATACACTATCATACATAAGGACAAGAAAATTACATTGCTGCCTTTGTCTCCTACGGATATTATTAAACATGCTAATGAGATTAAAATAAACCTCCAACAGACATTGCTAAAAATAATGGGATTAAGTTAAAAGGAGGTGCTTTTCTTGCTACAACTTCTCGCCATGCTGAGTTATGTGATAATCCCTGATGCACTATGTTATACTATGTTTTGTCAACCTTTTTTGTCCGGTGCATTGCCGCTGTCACTAACCTTTTGCAGGAGTTTCACGATGATGGGATGGAGTCGAGGACAACTCCAATTCTAGAAGGAGGGATGATGAGGGATCGCCAAGATGGAGTCGAGGATGACTCCAATTCGAGAAGGGGAGGATGATGAGGACATCACCATGCTGGACACACCGACGCCATGGTCTTCCCCAAGTTGCAATTCGTTTCCAACTCAGCTGCCACGTCGCCCTCGGATTCAACAGACACGTCGTCACTGTTTCGGCCATAACTTTCTCATACGATATCGAAACGGGCCGTTCTTGGATGCGTTGGAAAGGGGATGACGACGCTGTCGTTTTGGATCTGGTCCCAGCTCCAGAAGGTCCATGGATCATTCTGTGTGACCACGGCAAGGTGCTGCGCCACCTATTTGGGCCAACTTGGCCATGTATCGTGTCGGGCCTTAAGCCCAAGTTGGGGGCGCCCAACCCCTGGCCGTCCCCAACCCTAGGTCGAGTCTTAGACTATAAACACAGCCATCGCCGCTGCTACACAATTGGGTTTTGTTTAGAGTTTAGTTTTCCATCGAGAAACTGAATCGTTCATTGTAACTGTGGTGACAAATCCTTTTACAGGGATCTAGGGCCCCCGTTCTTGGCGAGGTCAATCAAGTTGTGCTTGGTTGATAACCAACGGAGCAGTGGTGTAACGGTTGCAGGGTTCGAATCGCGTCTGATTTGAAGCTGGATCGCCAACGTCGAGATCTCCACAAATCGAACTTACCGGCTACCTCTCGGAAGATCGGGCCTATACTCATCACTTCACTGAATCACTGACGGCCATTACTAGTATGAATTTATGAAATGAACACAGTACTTCATAGAATTGCGTAGTTTCTCGGATTTCCAATCTTATTAGGTCGTTATTTATATTACAAAAAGGTTAAGCTGTTCCGCAATTAACTGTTCCACTAGTTTGTTTCGTGGCAAGGTAGTATGCTAATGGAGTTTGTTTCATTGCTATAGTCAATTTATCCTCCATTTTCTTTCTCGGCTTATTAGTTTGTTCTAGATTATAATTCGCACTAAAATTGTCCAAGAACTATTATGGGGGGAGTCTTGAATGCCGAATGTGCTGAAGTGTTAATCTCATGTAGTTGCAGAATATAACTGCTATTCATGTGGTCTGACTAAATGGTTATACCTTATAATTGAATTATTGATATTGTTCTTGTATGTGGTTGGTCGTTGGTGTTTGTAGATGGTGGACATGGAGATGGATGGTGCATTTGAACCGGTTGCTGTGGAGCTAGAGTCAGGCTTCCTTATGGTACTTGATTACATGATACAACTTGCACAGAAGGACGCAGATGATGAGGTACTTGATAGTCATTGCCTAACTCAGCCAAAGTACTTGTTTGCAACACATTATTTATTCTTCACTAGGCGTCATTGTAGAGAGATAGCAGAACACCTCACACCCCTTGGGTTGGGCTTTCATATATATAGTCACAAGGACTTCAGTACAATTACAATTAAATCCCTAAACATATACATATCTAACACCCCCACCGTAGTAGCGGAAGGTTCACAGACGCATAGACTAGACCGAAAATCAATAAATAACTGTACAGGCAGGCCCTTAGTCATGATATTTGCGAACTGATGTGAGGACAACACATGGAGAACATGAACTTCACCAAGCGTGGCCTTCTCGCGGACGAAGTGAATGTCGATCTCGATGTGCTTGGTCCGGCAGTGATGAGTGGGGTTAGCTGTCATGTATACGTTGTCACAGAAGACAACCATGGTGGAGAGTAGTGGTAGATGGAGCTCTCGGAGAAGTTGGTGCAACTAGCAGCACTCGGCGAAGGCATGGGTGACGGCATGGTACTCTGCTTTAGCACTAGAGCGAGAGATAGTGGTCTGACGCTTGGACGACCATGACACCAAGTTGTCGCCGACGTGGATGCAGTAGCTCGATGTGGAGCAGCGGGAGTCGAGGCACCCTGCCCAGTCCGCATCTGATGTGAGAGACTGGATAGGACTAGTGCCAATGTGTAGACCAGCGGAAAGAGTGCCCTTGACGTGGCTCTCGGGGGTCGTGCATGAAGAGGTACACCTTCTAGACCACATAGGCCAGGTCGTGCAATAAGGTACTGTAGTGCCCCGGTGAGGCTATCATACTCGTATGGGTCGACGACTGGGGCAGCATCTGTAGCTGAGAGCTTGGACTTGGAGTCCACAGGCGTCGCGGTGGGATGGCACTCAGACATGGTAGCACGCTGGAGAAGCTCAATAGCATACTGGCGCTGCAAGACGAACAATCTGTCAGTGCAGCGTGTGACGGAGATGCCGAGGAAGTGATGGAGCGCGCCTAGGTCAGTCATCGCGAACTTTGAGTTGAGGCGCGCGCTAATGTGACATAGGTAAAGTGAGGAGGCCATCTGGACGATGTCGTCGACGTAGAGCAACAAGTAGGCGATGTTGTCTTGATCTTTATAAATAAAGAGAGACACATCACTTGTGGATGGCGTGAAGTCGAGTTGGCGAAGATATGGCAAACCGCTGGTGCCACGCGCGGGGAGCTTGCTTCAGGCTGCAGAGGACTTCTGCAACAAACAGACATGATCAGGTGCAGAGGGATCGACAAAGCCAGGAGGCTACTGGCAGTAGACGATCTCAAGACTGCCATGGAGAAAGACATTCTTGATGTCAAGTTGGTGAATTAGCCATGACCGCGAGGCAACGATGCTCAGGACGACGCGGATCGTGGCCGGTTTGACAACCAGGCTGAATGTCTCATCGTAGTCCATGCCATGCTGCTGGGAGAAACCACAAACGACCCAGCGAGCCTTATGGCGGGCGAGCGACCTGTTGGCGTGGTAGTTATTGGATCCACTTGCCGATGACGACATTGGCGTGAGGAGGCCGGGGAACGAGATGCCAGGTCCCGAAATCGATGAGTGGACGATACACATTGGCCATGGCCGCATGCCATTGCGGCTCAGCTAGAGCACCACAGTAGTTGGTAGGCAGGGACGAGGCTATGGCGGTGGAGACGAAGGCACTGCTGTAGTCGACCGGCCGGATCTCAGATGGTGCCCGTCTGCAGCCTCATCACAGCCTGTCCCGCTACCGGAGCAACAGGAGGCGTAGATGGTGCACTAGGGGCGCCAGTGGCGCACCCAGAGACATGACTGTCGGTGGCGCCAAAGGTGCCGGTACCGTGGCGGCAGTGTTCGGTGATGGTGGGGCACCACGCCGCATGTAGACGCGTCCGAAACGACCCCGTGGTGCGGCGAGGGCAGTGTTGGCGGCGCAAGTGGAGCGGGAGGACCGTAGACAATCACCATGGGGTTGTCCAGGGGAGATGAGCCAGCCACGCCTGCCGGGCTGAGTGGGCGCGGCACCCATGAAGGGTGGGGCGACTGCGTCGCTGTCATCGATGAGGAAGTCGAGCGAAGCTGGGGTAGATGGACCTGCAGAGTTAGTGGAGAAGGGAAACATCTCATCAAACACAACATGGCGGGAAATGATGATGCGGCGTGATGAGAGATCAAGGCAACGATATCCTTTGTGGGAAGAACGGTAGCCGAGGAATACGCAGGCAACGGACCATGGAGCGAGCTTATGTGCAGAAGTGGCACTAAGGTTTGGGTAGCAGAGGCACACGAAGACATGAAGATGGGACATGTCAGGCTGCTGACCGTAGAGGCGAGAGAAGGGGATCTCATGGCGTATGGCGGAGCATGGGCGGCGATGAAGAAGATAGGTGGCTGTGGTGTGAGCTTTAGCCTAGTAGGCAGAAGGCATGGAAGAATGGAGAAGGAGAGTGCTCACTATATTGTTGATGGTGCACTGGTTGCGCTCGGCCTACGTGGGCTCCATTTGGGAAGGGTAGGGAGTGATTCCCGCATGGGAGAGACGATCGCACGTGCACGAGTGATGCTCGGGCGTGTGAGGAGAGCGGAAGGGAAGGAGCGGTTGGGAAGGGGGCGCACGCGTCAGCCACACGTGCGCGAGCGATGGAGACGTGGGCATGGGGCACAACAGAGCCGCGCGTGCGCGAGGGAGATGCGGACGCGTGGGACTAGGGAGGGGAGGAGTCAGCGCGCGCATGAGATGGCCTTGTGCGAGCAACTCGTGGGGCCAGGGAGGGGGAAGAAGTTAGCGCGTGCAGGAGATGGCCGCGCACGAATAGCTCGTGGGACCAGGGAGGCGGGAGGGGGGGAAGAAGTCCGCGTAGGAGAGAGAGGAGGTGGTCGCACGATTGAGGAGCAGCGGCGCGAGGAGAGGACGACCGTTCGTGGGCAGGAGGCCGCGTGCACAGACAGAGGAAGAGTGATGGGAGGGGCTAGAGCAGCGACCGGAAAGGAACCCGGGCTTCTGGTACGATGTAGAGAGATAGCAGAGTACCTCACACCCCTTGGGTTGGTGGCGGCTTTCATATATATATATAGTCACAAGGACTTCAGTACAATTACAATTAGACCCCTAGATATATACATATCTAACAGTCATCCACTTATTTGCCTATCTTTATTAAATAGCATAATTCAGCTATGTATTTTGTCTTTGCCATATTCTAAATCTTTTTATACCTCGCAAAAAAAATATTTTTATACCAATAAGGTATATCGATGTTTCTTTAACTGTAACAGAGAAATTAAATATTATTACTAGTGGGTCCAAAGTTGTTTATATTTATTCATGTTAAAGTTAGTACTAGTTACATTAATTAGAAGATGCATAAGTCAAAGGGACCTTTCAGATTGCTGTGTTGATGTGATAGCCATAAAATCCATGTATGCTTCGAGACATTGTTGTCAGACTGGAGTGCTTACTAAATCCTGCTATATGCATATTTCCCCTTAGCTTATTCTACATGCTTTACATGCTTGTCTTATGATGGCAGCGTAAGTCTCTTCTTGAGGTAATTAAGCAGACAGTGCTAGACCATCTGACAAAGAAATGTCCTCCACATGTAAGTGTTGTTTCAAGTGCCCAGTGTTATCTGCTTATATGTGTGTATGGATGTGGGCGTGTTTGTGTCTTCTGACTGGTGGTGTTGCATTTTACAAACCAGGTCCAGGTTGTTGGACTCCTTTGCCAGACTGAAAAGAAAGAAAGCAGGCATGAATTGTTGCGCCGTGTAGCTGCTGGTGGAGGTGTTTTTAAGAACGATAAAGGTCTTAAGTGCCAAATTCCTGGGGCAAATCTTAGTGACATTGCAAATCAGGCAGATGATCTACTAGAGGTAAGTTGAAAAGCATGAGTACAGGCATCCTTTACTGATGGCCTTCCATGAAATGAAATAACACAATCTTCATAACCTGATTCTTTGCAATGAAACAATTTCTTTTCCATAAGTACGTTCAATGATAAGTTGATAGGAGGAGAGTAAAACCTAATTACAATGTAGACTAAGACACTCAGTACGCACATATATACTCATACTAAAGAGTTCTGTCCTAGACCGGTTTAGACAGATGCCAGTTCATAGATGGACTATGAGACTGTATGACATGCTATATACTATTATCTTACAATTCTCATTCAATTTTGTGAATGAACAATATTGTTGGTGCATTGAGCATTGGCTTCAGATGCTATATGTTACTCCCTCTGTCCTAGAATATATCTAGTTTTAGACTTTTCCAGACAGATTAAGGAAAGCGATTAAATGTCTAAGTTTCCCTTCATTATCTTGGTCAAGTTACATGCGCCTGATAGCCATGTATCTGGTGGGCAGCGCTGCCTAGCATATTTGTTGAAACAAGGAAACCTGCATATTTGTTTGTGCTGCCTGCCATATTTATGTTTGCATGCTGAGAAGGAAAAGGCAAAGCGAGGGGTATTTATGAGAAACCACCCCATCAGAACTCAGATATGGATGTATTTTGGGACAAAGTTTGACGCCCTGTTCGCTTGGCTGATAAGCCATGGCTGAAAGTACTGTTGGCTGATTTGTTGTGAGAGAAAAATACCGTTCGTTGGCTGAAAAAGTACGGTTTATAAGCCAACCGAACAGGGCGTGAGTTATAAATAGCTAATTCTGGGATGGATGGAGTACACTATTTTGGATCGCTGATGATGGCATGCCTAAAATGAACTTAACAACCAGCCTCTTTGAAGTGGTTCTTGTGACCCAGATCATGTGGTGTAGTAGTGGGCTACCCCTACATTGGAAATTCAAAACAAGTAATGCTAGCAGGCAGTGCCTCTTGGCTCCAATATCTCAGCTCCTGTTAACCCCTTTATGCAAAGTTAGTACAGTGCAAAGAGTCAATTCTTGACAGGGTGTTATATAAAGATACAAAGGAATACTTCTACGGTTTGCTCTTCAAGAAATAGACAATTGTCAAGTTGAAAGCATTGGCATTACTATTATGTACAGAGCAGTCAATCAGTTGCCTCGTTGTTGGTCCAAAACTTAAGATTTAATCATTTGCATAGAACACCAGGCCCGCAACTAGCAAATTTTGGACATCTTGTTTGTATGGTACTTGTTTCCGTTAAATTCAATTCCCCTCATCCTCAAGTCATCCAATCTTATACATATCATTTGTTACTTTGAGGTTTGTATGAGAATGCATTGTATTAATAGCAGAGTAGATCTATACACAACTCAAAAACAATGAAGTAATCATGAAAATAGAGATTTGGCAAAGCTAACCACAAACACCAAGTTCATTGAACTTCCAACCTTGGGGAGATGCTGGGAGCTGAATGTAGGGTACCAATCAACTGGAAGTCTTCAAGTGATGCAGGATAGAACTTGAGTCTGCTGTTTTGAGCCATGGGAACTTGGTGTTAGGCGTGCGCATGTCAAACACGCAAAACATAGGAACTTGGTGTTAGGTGGGCGCATGTCAAATACGCTGGATATAACTGGAGTATATATATAAAAAAAACTTGATCAACCTAAGAGGAACTAGGAGACATTTTATTAAGAGGAAAATAGGCACACAAATTTGCCTCGATGAGGACTTGAACCTGGGTGGTCTAGGCATACACCCACACCCTCGACCAACTGAGCTACCTCAGCTTCATTATACAACTGGAGTATATGTTTTGTTTCGGTAGAAATTGTTATGACCCAAGATCATAGCGGTAAACACCACCAGGAAGATAGCTAGGCAGAGTCGGCTTGGAGAGAGACTAGGGGCTTGTTTGCTTGGTGCCTACTAGGCAATTGGGAAGCCAAGCAAAGATCTAGACCCCAGGCCAATGAAATCTAACACCTGGGAGTTTTTCCTGGCTAGGCAACTTTTGAGTCCTCCAAGCAAACGAAGGTGATGCTGCGGGTGAGGAAGCTGTAGCGAGCCATCGAGGACGGTACCGAGGATGAAGAAGAGGATTGCGCGGCAATGGAGGCGATCCTGTCCGCCGTGCCTCACGAGTATGTGGAGCCATAGGGGACCAAGGCTTTGCCAATGCTGCCTGGGACGCCCTTAAGGCCATGCGCGTCGGCTTGGACCGTCAAAGAAGGTGAAGGCGCAATAGCTGCAGCGGGAGTACGAGGCGATGGCGTTTTGTGATGGCGAGGCGGTGGAAGACTTCGCCCTCAGGCTATAGTCTCTCATTAGCCAGCTGGCGGCGCTTGGCATCACCATCATCGACGATGAAGCGGACGCCAAGTACCTGCAGGTGGTGGCCACCAGGTATCCGCAGATCGCCCTCTCGATAGAGACGCTGATCGACCTGTCCACCCTCTCTCTCAAGGATGTGACAAGGCGCCTGAAGGCGGTCGAGGACCGAGACAGTGAGAACGATCATTGGTGGCAAATTGCTGCTGATAGAGGAGTGGGCAGCTTGCATGCACGAGTGGCGGTCCGGGGAAGGCTCCTCCAGCCGCGGTGGTGATGGGAAGCACCGCGACAAGACCCCGTAGAAGGACGGTGACGACACGTTGCGTTTGATCGACACAGATACTTGTCGACGGTGCGGGAAGACTGGGCATTGAGCCGGGGATTGTAAGAATCCCAAGGAGGAGGAGCCGCACCTCGTGCATGTGGACGACGAGGAGCCCACGCTCCTGACGGTGTAGTTCTGTTCGCTGAACGACGCCGAGGAGCTGGTGTTGAGGGAGGGGCTGAGGGCTGCGGAGCAGAGGAAGGTGAAGCAGAGCATCCTCCTCGACGAGTCGTGCGCCCAAGTCCATATCGGAAGCGAGGGCAGCGGCGCAGAGTAGAGGTGGTACTTGGCCAGCAACCACATGATCGGCATCAAGGGCGCGTTCTCGGAGCTGGATGGTAGTGTTCTCGGCTCCGTGAAGTTCTACAGCGGTTTGTCGTTGGACATTCGCGGCCTTGGTACCATCATCTTCCGGTGTCAAAATGGGAAGCACCGCGCGCAGATGGATGTGTACTACATCCCGATGCTCTGATTGAGCATTGTCAGCATTGGGCAGTTGGACGAGCGCAGGTGCGAGGTCCTCATCAATAGTGGTGATCTGCGCATCCGCGACCGAGTGTCATCTTCTCACCAAGGTATAGCGTTCTAGAAACCATCTATACATGTTGGATTTGAAGATCATGTAGCCAGTTTGCTTAGAGGCATGGCAGAACGAGGATCCATGGCAATGGCACGCTTGGTTCGGACACATAAGCTTCGATGTGCTTGGAAAGTTAGAGAAGATGGTGCGCGAGCTACCGCACATCAAGTACGCCGGTGAGCTGTGTAACAGTTGCCTGGCAAGCAAGCAGAGGAGGTTGTCTTTCCCCAAGGCGGCCAAGTACCGCACCGACGACGCACTGGAGCTCGTCCACGACGATCTCTGTGGGCCAATCACTCTAGCCACGCATGGAGGACGGCGGTACTTCCTGCTACTTGTCGACTTGTCGACGATTGCAGACGGTTCATGTGGGTATAGCTCCTAGCGAGCAAGGACAAGGCAGCGGCGATCAAGGCTTTCCAAGCTCAAGCAGAGGCGAAGTCTAGGAAGAAGCTGCGTGTGCAGAGGACGGACCGTGGTGGCGAGTTCACCTCAGTAGAATTCGTGGAGTATTGCGCTGATTGTGGCGTGGCGCACCATTTGACCATGCCCATACTCGCCGCAACAGAACGGCGTCGTGGAGCATCGGAACCAGACTATCGTTAGCATGGCGTGCAGCATGATGAAGGTGAAGCGCATGCTGGTGGAGTTCTAGGGGTAGGTAGTGAGCATGATAGTGTTCATTCTCAACCATGCATCGACGAAGAGCTTGAAGGTCATGACGATGTTCGAAGGTTGGTATAGGAGGAAGCCCGACGTCTCATTTTCTACGTTTGGGTGCATCGGCCACATGAAGGCGACGAAGCCGCACCTAACCATGCTAGAAGACAGGAGCACCATACGAGGCTGGTAGCAAGGTGTATCGGCTGTTTGACCCGCGCGGAGGCAAGGTTGTCATCTCGGGTGATGTGGTGGTTGATGAGAAGGTGGTCTAGGATTAGGAGGATCTGGGCATAGGGGAAGCCGGCGGTGTTAGCTGCACCTTTGTTGTTGAGCACTTGGTCATCCATGGCGATGGGGACACAGGAGGAGTGGAGCCGACTATGGACACGGCAAGTTCAATGGCAGTGGCGGTTCCCGATGGACCACCAAGTTCAAGCATGGCAGGCGCGGGTGAGCAGACTCCTCTGGCGGTAGCGCAGATGCCTCCACCACCGTCCCACGCTCTGGCGGGATAGGGGAACACCAGCGTCGACCCCGGTCTAGTTCTTACTTCGACTAGCTGACTTGGACTCGCATGTCAACGCACACCAACAAGGCGAGGAGGTGCGTTTCCACACCATGGACAACCTTGTCAGCGGCTCTATAGCTCCTGGCTTGGCAAGCAGGATGCTCGATGACAAAGAGCTACTTTTGATGAGCGCCAAGGAGCCACCCATGTTCACTGAAGCTGAACGCTCTCAGAATTGGTGGTGGGCCATGCTTGAGGAGATGAACGTGATCAAAGACAACGGGACATGGGAGCTCGTGGATCCACCTCTCGGGTGCCGGCCAATTGGGCTCAAATTGGTGTACAAGGTGAAGCGGGACGAGCGCGGCGCCATTGCCAAGCACAAGGCACTGCTCATCGCCTGGGGCTTCGTCCAGCGCGAAGGAGTTGACTTCGAGGAAGTCTTCGCGGCGATGGCACGAATGGAGTCCGTCTGCCTCCTGCTAGCGCTAACGGCGGCGAAAGACTGGTGTGTCCATCACATGGACGTGAGTCCACCTTCCTCAACGGTGAGGTCTCAGAGACGGTCTTCGCTAAGAAAGCTCTGGGCTTCGCCGTCAAAGGACATGAACACAAGGTGCTGCGGCTGCGCAAGGTCCTCTATGGGCTATGGCAGGACCCGTGGGTATGGATCGCCAAGCTAGATGCCATGTTGGGCGAGCTTGGGTTCACCAGATGCGCCACAGAGCACACACTCTACACGCAACGACGGGGGATGGAGGAGCTCATCGTTGGCGTGTATGTGAATTATCTAATCATCAGTGGAGTGCGGGCAGAGGACATCGATGGCTTCAAGCACGAGATGGCGGCTCGATTCTGCATGAGTGATCTCGGCTTACTCTCCTACTACCTCGGCATCGAGGTGAAATAGGGGAGGAGCACGTACGCGGAGATGCTACTGGAGCGGAGTGGCATGGCGGATTGCATGCCGTGCGTGACTCCGACGGAGGAGCGGTGAAGCTGACGAAGGGTAGCACCGTGGCGAATATAGACGTGACAAGCTATCAGAGCATCGTCTATGGGCTGCGCTATCTTGTTCATACGCGTCCGGCCATTGTGTTCGCAGTGGGCTATGTGAGCAGGTTCATGGAGGATCCGTGGGAGGATGACTGGGCTACGATGAAGCGGCTCTGCGCTACATCAAGGGGACGATTGACCAGGGCATGGTCTTCCCCAAGGCCGGTGGAATTGGGCTGTGACTCAATGGCTTCAGCGACGCGGACATGGCGGGCGACATCGACGGGCGGAAGAGCACCTCCAGCGTGCTCGTTTTCCTCGGCTGGTCCTCGATCGCTTGGTAGTCGCATAAGCAAAAGGTGGTGGTGCTGTTGACGTGCAAGTCATAGTATATCGCCGCGGCCACAGCGGCATACCAGGTTGTATGGTTGCTCCGGCTGTTGGGCAAGCTCACCGGCGAGGAAGCTGGTCCGCCAACTCCGATGGTAGACAATCAGCCCACCATCGCACTCGCCAAGATCCCGATGACCGAAGCAAGCATATCGACATCAAGTATCACTTCCTTCGTGATTGTGTCGATGGAGGACAGATCGTCCTAGAGTTCGTTGAGACCGGCCGACAGCTCGCGGACATTCTCACCGAGTCACTTTGGTCGTCTTCAGTTCTCGGAGCTGAGGGAGAAGATTGGCATGGTGGGACTCAATCTCAGGGTCTATGTGCAGTAGGATTAGGGGAAGAATTGTAAGATAATCTGCTGCCCTTGATTAGCCTTTTGCTGAAGCAGAGGGTTGGCACTGTGGGCAGCTCTTGTTGTACCTTATGTACTGTTACTCTATTAGAAGTATGGAAATAGGCCAATATGGTAGTGGCATACATCAGCCATGTAGAGAGTAGTTGGGCTGAGGTCAGCCATACTCTAATGTACCTTATAGAGGTACTAAACTTGTATATATACTAAGCGATTGCAATAGAGCACTAAACTTGTATATATATTAAGCGATTGCAATAGAGCAAACCAGCTCAGTTTGCCACACATTTAGTTTTAGAGCAAGTGCTTGTGCTCTGTTCTCACCCCTTCCTTCTACCTCTAGCCGTGGTGTGTGTGAGTGTGTTGGTGAGCTAGCTGTTCATCTGTGCAGGGAAATCGAGGGTCAACAGGCGCGTGATGTTGAAATGGCACAGGGCCGGTGCTACAATGGTTGTCACCCTTGTCCTCCCTACTCTCACCATCTGCGTCATGGTGGCTTCTCACCATCGGCACAGGCGCAGATACTTCCACAGTCTCCGCAGTGCGACATGGCAGGCCAGGACTCCAGGCCCATGAGGCACCCGACGACACCTGGGGCAGCCCCATTGGCCAGGTGCGGCGCCAGGGCCACAAATGCCTAAAGCACCAAGGTGTCAATGTGCACTCATGGGCCACCACGTCGGCAAAACCAGGGTCGAAAACCACCTCATCAAGGGGTTATATACACGGTTAGGAGATGTTTGTGGGGCAGAATACATGGTTTTATAGTTCAGTTGGTGAAGTAGACACCAAGCCAAACATCAGGGGGCTATATATAGAGTTTTTCCTTGCATATTTTGCATCATCTGAAAATGCCCACAGTACTATTGTTGGAAATTGAACTTTCTTGAGTGATTCATTCTTGCTGCTTATAAGAATTCATTGAATGCCCGGTCTTTTATTTCTGGAGGGAGGGAAAAATTGTGCTACTTGTCAACCAAACACTAAAATTCCCCTCTAGTCATAGGAAACATGTGGACTGTGTTACCAGTGTGTTCTAAACAACTTCAACTTACAAATATAGATTGTTAGGGCTGCGTCACTATTTTATAATTTTATCTCACACTGCTTAAAATAGATGATCACACCTAGCTTATGCCTACTTAGAATTGCAAAGCCCAAAGGATATTTGAAACTCCCAAATGGAACAGAGACAAGATGCTAGAGGTGACGATCATTCCATATCGCTTTGCTTCTTGGAGATGATAAGAGTAGGCTGATAACTTTTCGAAAAGAACTGCTTGTAGTAGTTAATTATTGTTGTTTTCATGTTGAAGAATTTTCATGAATCTTCTAACGTCTTGGTTATTATTACAGTCAATGGAATCTAGGGACACCATTCCTGATCCAAAACTTCTTGCAAGACTAGTTATAGTAAGAGAAGAAGCTCGGAATATGATGGGAGGTGGCCTGTTAGATGAGAGAAATGATCGTGGTTTGACTACCCTCCCTGAGGCAGAGGTATCTTTAAACATGGAAATCCTAATGTGACATGGTAAACGTGTATTCCATGACTAATTGCAAAATATCAAAGGGTCTTTAGTCTATTTGGATTACTTATATATGGTTGTTGAGATGTGATGAAGCGACATCATAAATTTGCTTGTCCGCATATATCTCAGTGTCTATAATATTATTTAGCAATTTGATGTTTAACAACTACATTGATATCTCTAGCTAACATTTCTAATAGCTTGGAAATAGAATTTGAAGCAAATCCCACACAAGACTTGATCAGTTTCTTAAGTCTGAAAATTGATTGACAAAGCTATGTTTGGTAAGTTTTCTAGAGAAATTGGGGTAAGGAGTGGTGTTGTATTATGGCTTGTTTTAGTAGCCTAATATACCCTCTTAGGTATAGCAAAGATGGTTTGGGTGTCTGGCCAATCGATTAGTTGATTTGGATGCTTTAAAAAGCGTGCATGGCACGACCTCAGTCGGTTTCCTCGCGTAGGCGCGGTCACCGCGCCCTTGTGCCATGGCGTTGACACGCCGGCCGCACGCACGCACGCCTGGCCGCGCTCGCCTAGCCGCTGTGGCCGATAGCCCTGGCGCGCGGCTGCCCCTCCTCAATGCCGCGCCACAGCACGCTGTCGTCTCGTCCGCCTGTGCCTCTGCGCCGCCGCCGTCCCGTCACCGCGCTGCATGCTAACTCGCTGCCCCACCACCCGCTGCCGCTGCCGTCGCGTCACCATCCCACTCTCGTCTGCCACTGCATCGCGCTGCATCTCTGGTCCACCTGGGCGCTATGCGCTAGGGGCCGGACCGCCGTCGCCATGCCATTTATGGCACTACGACGCGTGGGCCACGCTGACCTCGTGTGTGTGCCATCGGCTAGCGCCGGCCGTGGGCCGCACTGGTTGCACCAGTCGCATCGCGCCAAGGTGCACTCACCAGCTACCCACCACGTCCTCACCACCTCTCATCCTTTGTTTCTCCCCTACCCACCTCTGTGCGCCCGACTGCCTCTGTTTCCGCCATCGCGTCGTGGCCACGGTGTGTCTGGGCGTAGGTGCTTGCCTTCAATTTCAGTGCCCATGTATGCTCCTGGACGTCCACGTGCCAACGATACCCACCTCGCTTTGAATGAGTCACGACGAACTCCAATTTGGATGTTCCCCCTCCGCTGTGCCATTAAGGCCGGAACCGGCCGTGGCCGAGGGCAGCCACCCGCCACACCACCCCTCGTCAATCCATCTTCACCATGAGCTCCGCATCCACCTCCACTTCACCCAGCGCACCTCACTGGTACCTCTCCACCTCGCCGCAGCCACGGACATGGCCACTCCGTCTCGGAGCGCCGCCGCATTCCACCACCGCACGTGGCCAGCCCAGTTCCGGGAATCCTCGGCCAATCCATCACCACAGCCGCAACCGGGATATGATAGTGATCCTTTAGCATTAGCTAGCTCTCCCCATGGTGGCTGAGGCTAGATAGAATGGTCACGCCGCTGTCGCGCATGGCCGCGCGCTGTGGTTGCCACTTCCACGAGCTCTGCCACTCCTATGACCTAGGCTAGTGTAGGCGCTAGGGTTGTAGACGGGGTCGGCCTGTTAGTGGAGCCAGCGCGGGTCTCAGCTGGCCGGCATGGCCGTCCAATGCCATTGCCGCCGCGCCGGCACGCGCGCGGGTTGCTGAGGACCACGCCGTTGTAAAGGAGGGTATTTCCAAGGGTTTTATTGCATAGTTGCTCTCTCTAGGAATAGTGACATGGACTGCGGGTTAGTTTGTCCAAAGTTTAGGGGCGTTTTTGCATATGTGTCGCGCGCGCGGGCCACCCGTGTGGGCCATCTCACGTTGGGCCACGACCGCGTGGGCCGCGTGGTGGTGGGCCACGAGCGGAAATCGTTTTTCCTTTTTCTTAAGGGATTAGAATTGGTTTTATATTTTACATTCTAAGCTAAACTTTGAAAATTAATATCAATTCGCATAGATGTCCAAAAATTGTGAAATAAATTCTGTTTAGTTCCTAAAATATTGTCTATCTGGTGGTATGATTAGTTTATACATGTCTTTGTTGATGCTAAGGTCTATTAAATTATTTGAATGTGTTTAATGTTATTTAGATTAATAATTGTAGGAATTTTTGTGGCAATTTAGTAGTAGCTTTGGCCATGCAATTTTTATAGTAGGTTCATTAGGTTATTATGTGCTCACTATAATTTTTGTAGCCTTAGAATAGGTTGAGCAATATGGTAGCTAAGTACTCCTTGTTTTTGTATATATGAAATCGTAAACAAAGTGAGAAATGCATTTTGATTGCTAAGATAATACTCGAATGTTTCATACATGTTTAGTGGAAAGGATGGGTAGCTTAGCATCTTAATCATGAGAGTTAGCTTAGTAGCTTGATAGATGTATTCTTATTTTAAGAGTTGTTTTTGTCGTAATACTAAGTGTTGCACCATCATTGCATGCATGTAGAGAACGTATTGGTGGAGTTCGTGACCGTGGATGAGCCAGAATACGAGGAGATCGAGGAGTACGAGGAGGAGGTCCTCGTCTAGGAGGGAGCCTCGGAGCCACCAGCTGTTGACTTTGCTGACACCACGCCTGCCCAAGGCAAGCCCCGGTGCATAACCCTTATTTTGAATGATCACTGGATATATATATGAGATGTGCATTTACGTTGCAGGTATTTTGTGAAAACTACATGCATAGATATACCTACCTATGAGTCCTACTCACATAGGTCGAGTAGCTGCTATGCTTATGTCTTTCGGTAGCGTGAGTAACCTGCTGTTACTCACAATAGGTGATTATTATTATTATCACTCTCATGCTAAAATGGTGAAAGGAAAAATGGAGACCGAGCAGGGATATGGTATGGGTATTGGTGGGTGTAAGGGGTTGTGTCTCGTGGCCAACGGGGCATAGCTTGGTTACACTATTTTCCCTGTCTGTGTCGGTTAAGGACCGGCCATTGCATTAGATTCTAGTCAGGTCACAGACTTATTATCCTGAGCACATACTTGTTTATGGGAGCAAGGAAGGCTCGTTGCACTCTTATCTTGGGTTTTGGCTCTTTCCGGACCAACTGATTGGAGGTGGGGATGGTAGAGGTCAAAGCACCACACTAAGTCTAGGACTCAGGTGTGGGGGCTTGGAGTCCAAGTTTGGACGGGAAACTAGACCTCTTGACAGGAGGGTGATGGGCTGGTCCTGCTTGTGCCAGGGGCACAACCGGGGCGTGTGTTTCGGGGTACACAAATGGGCACATTGATTCGCGAATCACCGGCTAATCCGATATGACTTGTATACAATCTAGTACCGTAGAAAGAACTGGAAGATAAAAGATGGTGAAATTGATCTGTTTGCTCAACCCTTGCTTAAAAGTAGAACATGTGCTTACTTAGAATGGTTAGAGAATGAACTAATCATGACTGCTAATAAGAAACATACATGAGGATCCACTACTAGTATTGCTTTCCACAAAAAGAAAACCCAGCAACCCATAAAGCTTATCATACCCTTTGGAGTCAAAAAATTATTCTCACTAGTCGGATAAGTCTTGCGAGTACATTATGTACTCAAGGTTTATTTACCCCTGTTGCAGGTACAACTTGAAGAGTAGCTATTGTATGGAGGATTCTTCTGGTGGGCACAGACGGATCCTTGTAATCTATCGTTAGATGTTTATTTTAATTCCGCTGTTTAATTTCCGCACTCTGAACTTGGTACTGTAATAATGTATTTCTAGGACTCTGGTTGTATGAAATGGACTAAGTATTGTAAACTCGTTCTCATTATTGGATCCTAGAGGAAAAACATGGATTATTCGAGTTCTCCCTTGGGGTGTGCTCGATGGAATCCGCCCGATGTAGCTTGCTTTTAGGGTGCTTAGTGTCTGGTGGAAGATGAACGCCTCTGAGGGTGTGTTACTTCGGGCAGTTCTACCACAGGTGGTATCAGAACCAATAACGAGTTTACGAGTTTCATAACTCTTTTTTAAAACCTAAAATTTGACCAACAAAAGTTTTACGAAAAGTAGGATGCGATGAAATTATGTAAATAAGTATAAGCCCTAACAATATGGTCTATCTTGGATAGCGGCACTGGTTTTATGTAATCAAATTTCTACAGGTACACTAACTTACGCTGCATAAGAATTGTTTAGCGTACGGGAAGTGAGTGTGCGATGTGCCGAAAATTTTTGCGAATGCCGCTATATTCCGGCTCGAGTGAACGGATAGGCCGACACATGGATCATGAAAAGAGAATCTAGCTTAAACTAAACGTCCCCACTACACGTATAAATTGGGTTAGTGAATTGATAGGATAACCTAAAAGAATGCTTTACTAAACGTCTTGTCATTTCTCTAGTCTCTTGCTCCTAATCTAGAGGGTTGTCCTTAATGATTGGTTCCTATCTATTTACAGATGAACCTGAGATCCGGTCGTGGGAGCACCAGTGCTGGAGCGGGCCATGGTCTTGGTGAAGGCCAAGGTGAGAGTGGCCGGGGCAATGAGAACGGCAACGGGGAGAGCCATGAGGCCTCGGTTCTGGATCCTCCACCACCGCCGCCTCCGATGACTCATGCGGAGATGATGGCGGAGATGTTGGCTGCTCGTCGCGAGTCAGCTCGTGCCATGGAACAATTAGCACAGGCTATCGGTGGCTTCGCCTGTGGAGGCCACGGAGGCAATGGCGGGAATGGGGGTGGTGCCCATGGTCCCGAGGGACCCTATTCTTACCAGGATTTTTTGAAGACGCACCCACCCATGTTCACGCCAACTACTGAGCCTCTGGATGCAGAGCATTGGCTTCGTATTCTAGAGCATAAGTTTTTGCTACTCACTGTAACCGAGGAGTAGAAGGTGCGCTTTGCAGCGCAATAGCTATTGGGTTCTGCCAGTGCATGGTGGGACACGTTCAATGCCATACAGCTGGTGGATCACCGTGTGACTTGGCAGGAGTTTACTGTAGCTTTCAGAAAGTATTACATTTCTGCTAATGTTC